ATCCCACTGCCAGTCCCGCATCCCACCGCCAGTCCTGCATCCCACTGCCAGTCCTGCATCCCACTGCCAGTCCCACATCCCACTGCCAGTCCCACATCCCACCGCCAGTCCCGCATCCCACCGCCAGTCCTGCATCCCACTGCCAGTCCCACATCCCACCGCCAGTCCCGCATCCCACCGCCAGTCCTGCATCCCACCACCAGTCCTGCATCCCACTGCCAGTCCTGCATCCCACCGCCAGTCCTGCATCCCACTGCCAGTCCTGCATCCCACCGCCAGTCGCACATCCCACCGCCAGTCCTGCATCCCACTGCCAGTCCTGCATCCCACTGCCAGTCCCGCATCCCACCACCAGTCCCACATCCCACTGCCAGTCCCACATCCCACGGCCAGTCCCGCATCCCACTGCCAGTCCCGCATCCCACCACACCCTGTGGGATGCACCGGCCCTGCAGCTCCCTGCCCGGGCCCCGCGGGCAGCATCGCTGCTTGGCACGGTGCACGAACCTCTAAGCATCTGCCCCTCTGCACAGCTGCAGATTGGGGGTGAGCAGGTGAGTTGGGCCGGACGGCTCCGGCATGGGGTCCCCGTGTGCCCTGCGAGGCCTCCCTGGGCCTGGGAAAGCTCCGTGAGACCCAGCACGGCGCCCGCTCCGACCCAGCCCGGCCCCGCAGCGGGAGGACACAGGGGAGATGCCGAGCGGGCCCCGGCGCTCCAGGCGGCCGCTCCAAGGGTTAAAAATGCAGCAGAGCCGGGAGTTGGCGAGGAGCCGCTCAGGGATGCGGRAAGCGACCGGGAGGAGCAGGGGGACAAGGGGCCGGTCCCTCCGCGGCCCCGCTGAGCCCCGACACGCTCGCGACACGTCGCGGGGCGCGGGCCGAGGCCGGCGGCAGCTCCTTACCTTGGTGACAGTCATGCAGGAGCGCGGGGAGCAGCGAGCGAGCCCTCCGGAAAGCGGCACTTGCGGGAGAGGGAGGGGATTAGAGAACCGCGATAAAAGAAAGGCAGCCCCCGCAGGAGCCCCCGGGGCCGGTGCCGAGCGGAGCCCGCGGGCCGCAGGCGGGCAGGGCCCGGCAGCGGGGGAGGGAGGAGGCGGGCGGGGACGGGAAGGGACGGGAAGGAGGGAGGGAGGCGGCGGGGGGAGAAGCGCCGCGCGGCTCCGAGCAGAAAACCCTTTTTTTTT